AGAATGTTAATAATAAAGTCAAAGTTCTTTTTATGGAAGTCAGGATGTGATAAGAAAAATGCTCTGTCAATAAGACCTATGACTGTGCCTTTTTTCTGGCTGATAGGATGATTAGAATGGAAATTGAGATATCTGCCAGAAAAAGTTGGCTTGTGATACCAGTCATGTTTCAAAAAATTATTTGTCTTAATTATGGTGATGTCCAGAAAGTTCAATTTGTTGTAGCCTATTTCCATGGTGAATTGTAGACGAGGATGATGAGAATTAAAAAGGTGGAGAACTAAGTCAAAGCTGTCAGCAGGAACCATTAGAGCTATATCATCAACATATCGAACGTAAAAAGGAGGCTGAAAGTGTAAAGAATTGAGGATGTTCTGTTCGAGATCTTGCATAACAATATCAGCTAAAATGGGGGAAAGAGGTGATCCCATCGGTGCGCCAAAGGTTTGTCGATAAAATTGGTTATTAAAAATGAAAAAAGTTGAGTTATATACAAATTTGATTGCATTAAAAAATTCATGTTTAGGTAAAGACGTCTCTTTACTTATGAGATGCCATCTTGTCTCTAAACTATTAATTACTAAATCCAGTGGAATATTGGAAAACAAAGATGTAACATCTAGAGAAATTAGTTCAAAGGATTGCTCAAATNTTACATCAGAAATTATCTTTGAAAGGTGAAAACTATTGAACACAAAACTTTTAGAAGGTGGAATACTTTTGGAAATAATTTTGTGCAAGAAGAAAGCAAGGTTATGTAACGGACTATTAATTGAAGAAATAATTATTCTTAGTGGATTACCTGATTTATGAATCTTTGGCACACCATAAGCCTTAGGAAGGATAGGTAAAGAAGAGTTTAAATTGGGGTGAGAGATATCCGAGATGTAATTGTGAGACCTCCATTTTTTTAACAAATTTTTTAACNAGGTTAGTAAAGAATTGACCGGATTCTTTTTAATTGGGGCGTAAGTGGTAACGTCCAATAATAAATTCTCCATATCTCGAGTGTATTCGGTTTTGTCCAACGCGACTACAGTGTTTCCTTTGTCTGCTCTAGTGTAGATAATAGAAGGATGGTGTTTTACAAAAGATTTGGTTAATATAAGAGCATTGTTTATTGCCATGTCATGTAATGAATTAGTATCAGTATTTGAATCTCTCAATTGTTTAAGCATAGGGATAAAACGGTTGCGACTGTCAATTTTTTTGTTGTTGTCAAAATGTTTAATATTATGTTCAAAATTTTTGATTATTTCAAAAGTTAGTTTAGTAATATTATTAGTGGGAAGGCTAAAATGTTCACCATGTTGCAACAAACCAACAACTTTGTCAGGAATGGGAGTGTTGGTGAGATTAATAAACCAATTTTTCTTATGCTCAAGTAATGTTTTGGTTGGCGATTTATGTTCGATTTGGATGTTTATTGTGTGTGTAGTTTCACAGGAAGGTGAAAAGGTGAATGTGTGAGATGGATGTGTGTAATAAGAATTAGAGTTATTATTTAAAATTGGTTTGTTGCGGTTTTTTGCAAAATAAGTGAGTTTCTTAGGTAGAGTGATTTCTTTGTAATGTTTTTGTTTTATCCACAAAAACTTTCTCTTCAACCTTCTTTCTTCATTAAGATGAAATTTATTGATTTTGTCTAATTGAGAGTCAAAGAAAACACTGTAAATGTGAAATGGTAGATTGTATATAATGGTTTTGTTGATTTTAAAAATGTTATTGTGGACAAAGTCACGATGTTTGTACAGATCTGTGATGTCAAATTTTTGTAATCAATTTTGTAGAACGATTTTGATAAAGACTAAAAACCATAGTCGAAACATCAACTTTATAAACTATCAAATAAAGAACATTATTATTATATCCATACACAACAACAACCGTGCTTTTGAACTCCAACTGCCTTTCTATATATTTTTTAAATTTCACTTTTTTTGTTGTTTGCGTCACTCTTGTCCGTTCGTTATAGTCTCTCAGCGCGTGTGATTCTGAAATATCGAACATCATATCTTTGTACTTTCCAAATATTGACTAAGAAAATGTGAATCTTGCCGAAAATTCGTGACCGACATATGTAACATTTTTTGCCGCGCTCTTTTATTGTATGTATTGTTTTTGTTGTTCCTTTCTTTTGTTTGTGCTGCCGATATCCGGCACCTTCTAATGAAATAGTGTCATTAAATTTATATATTTTTTTTATTATTATTAAATGAGCAAGTTTCTCTGCCCTTATTTAATAAACACTGCCTCCTGAGCCCACGCCTCTCTGTTATTTGAATAAAACTAAGTTGGCGAGTGACCTTGCCGTCACGTTAAAATTATTGTCGAGATTTGTCGTTCAAATGGAGATTCTTGAGTTCGGCGTGTAAAGCACGCCTGGCGCCCAACTTTCGAATTAGGTGAGTAAAAAGTTGGTTTTTGACTAAATAAACGTGCCGAAGTTGTGCGGCATCTCCGCTAAAAGATCCTAAGGCGAAGTGCACGTCACAATATATATATAAGAATTGAGATTTCAATTCAAAAAATACTTGTAAAAAATTTACAAGTAGATTTCGTTACATGTATATATATATATATATATATGTACACGCATAGTTTCCGCACAAACATCCTGCGAATGACTCGTATTGGCCTTATTTATTTCCTGTTGACAATATATATAGTTATATATATAGTTATGTATATATGTTAGCGTCCAAGTCCGAAGTCCGGCAATCTTAGGATTAACTAGTCAATATCCGAAGTAACCAGCTGTGTTGGTCACTCCTGAGATTGACTAAAAACACAACAGTCAAAACCCGAAAAAAAAGATTGTTTTGGACTTTGCCCAAAACGCTTGGTTACTTCGAATATTGACCACTCAATCCTAAGATTGCCGAGACTTCGGACTTTGACGCTAACATATATATATATAACTATCTTTTTGTAAATAAGTAACTACATAAATTTAAAAAAAGAACTCAATTTTGACACATTTTGACATTAAACTTATTTATTTTGATGAAAGAAATACGAGGTCCATGCTTTTGCGTTTAGTTGTTGATAGCTATTAATTTTTATGTTTATATAGTTTATATACATTACATGTTCTTTTTATTAGCTCCTTCTATTCCGTTGCTACGGCATGAGCGCACGAAACACTGTTATGAGTTGTTATTGTGCTGTCATATGCACGTGGCTGCACGCTCATTCGCGAATCTTTATTAATTGGTATCTCGTTAATTATTGCAAAGTTTGCAAAGTAGTATACGACTTTTTGAATAACCCTTTCTACTTACGAGCGTGTTACAATTACCGGACATCCTATATATATATGTGTTCACGTGTAAATTTTACACGTGACTTTTTGAATTGAGATTTTAATTCTTAAATTTATATAGGATGCTATATTTGCATCTCATATATAAGAAACCCCGTATATCTCCCTAACTAATTTTAAAATATATATGCGGAAAGTTCAGATGCGGCTGCTGGCTCGTAGCCGCTTGGTAGCAACACATACACGCGCCGGTAGATGGCAAAGAGAGCAGAACGAAGGGAGAGCAAAGATCAAGATGGCGAAACAAGGATAAGCGAAGATGGACTAGTGTGTTTATTATATATCCTCTCAATTATCTGTACTCTTATAATTAAAGTTTTATCCCATCAAGCCGACTTGTCGTTTTTTTGGCACGCCCTTTTCCTACATATGGGGCCTCGTCCGGGATCAGCCAAACCAAGAGGCGACACAAGAAGAATATTACGTTAATTGGTGCATTCCTTCGTTTGTTGTGCAAGCCGCACGTTGGAAGAAGTCGTGGAAAAGTTGACAAGTCTGTGTCCTAAGACAAAAGTAAAGTTGAAAAAAAAACAAACAACAACAAGCAGTGGAAGTTGATCATTTGTTGTCTGCATGTTGAGTCAAGAGGCCAGTTCAAGTTGAAAAGTGAACAAAAGAGAACAGAAGAACGAGACAAAAATAGCAAATAAAGAAGGAAACGAAAAGATGATTGAAAAAAGTAGCGATTCCGATAGCAGTTTGAATGAAACAATAGTAGCCGGTTCACATAAACAGGCGAAAAATGCGGAAAGCAAGAAGATGCGAAACAAAAATGAAGAAAGTAAGAATCTAGAAGAGGACAGAAAAGGAAGTACAAAGAAGCTGACTCAGGAGGCTACCCACAGAGACATCCATCCATCTAGACATCTATTAGACATCTATTAGATGTCGCATGAAGCTGTCGACGTCTAATAGACGTCTAATGGAGTTTTTGTTCTGTGTGGGTATTGGTAATCTGTTGGTAATACAGTTAAAGGCGGAATTAGAACAATTGAATTTATCAAAAATCGGTAAGAAAGCAGAATTACAAGATCGGTTGTGGAGTTATGTACAGAAAAGAAAAGAGAATGACAACCCACCAAACGAAGAAAGTTAGACAGAAGAAGAGACTATAGAAGACGAACAAAAGAACAGCGAGACAAACGATGAAAGCGAGTGTGAAAGTGATAGTGAGGTGCGCAATCACGTGACACGTGGTTTAGAGAAAGAACAAAGAAGGAGACAGAGAGACCGAAAGACACGCAAAATCTATTTAGCATAAAAGACGTTGAAAACAGTATTGCGAGTTTCTCAGGAGACGATAAATTATCGGTCGAAAAGTGGCTGAGTGATTTTGAAGATTTAAGTACTCTGTTAGAATGGAGCGAGTTGCAAAAACTGATATACTACAAAAGAATGCTTCAAAGATCGGCGAAACAGTTTATAACCTATGAAGGCAGTATTAAGTCGTGGAAACGGAAACTAGTGCGTGAGTTTAAAACAGACTTGAATAGCGCTTTAGTGCATAAAGAACTGTCGAGACGAAAAAAACAACCCAGTGAGACGGGACGTCAGTACGTATATGCTATGCAAGAGATAGTGAGTCAAGAACACATAGAGACCGTTAATTCAATATATTATTGATGGTGTAGTGAACGACGAAGCTAGCAAAACAATCTTGTATGGAGCGGTTACATTATATGATTTGAAGAAAAAGTTTGAAAGTTATGAAAGAATGAAAGAAAAAACAGAAAGATCTAAAAACTCTGGAAAAAAAACTAGTAAAAGCAAGGGAGCGAAAGATGAAAAACAGTCACATCGCTTTGGATGCGGAGCAACGGATCATAGTTTTGAAAACTGTGTACACAAGGAGAAAGAACCAAAATGTTTCCGGTGTAATAAATTTGGCCATATTTTCACGAAGTGTCCTAAATCTGAAAAAAACCGACCTTGTTAAGAATAGTGTGAATGTAGTCAAGGCAAACGACAGTAGAATGGTTCCGGTGATAAATAGACACAGAATTAATGCATTGTTAGATACAGGTAGCGACGTGAACATTATACAAGAAGACGTCGGTAAACAACTTGGAATTTCTAATTTGCAAAGAACAACACGAGTTTTTACTAGTTTAGGAAATAAAATAACAAAGCCAGTTGGAAAATTCTTCGGATGTTTAAGCATCGGTCAATATAAGTTCAACGATGACATATTTGTGGTGCCCACAGAGGCTATGACATCAGAGTTAATCTTAGGACAAACACTATTAGATAAAGCCGAAGTACTAAAAAAACAAAA